TTATTTTGCTAACCTAGATTTCTTAAAAAGTATGAGTAATTTGTAACTTCATGCAACTTAAAAAATTGGTCTTCAGAAAGTTTGTAGTCTTTTAATAACGCCTACCAAAAATCAAAGTGCCTGTCACTCAAATCAAGATGACAAGTTTAAAATCTTCTTTAGAAGCATGCACTAGAATCAGTAGACAAAAATGTATTTCCAAATCCTGAAAGCTATCAATGTTTAGTCCAACAGAGCCAACAGCTCTGTTTTGAGAGTAGCTCTTTCATTGTATTTCTGCAGAAATCAGCAAGCAATGAGCAACGGGTAGCAAGCAGAGGGTACTTCCCAAAGGAAGCCAAGGACACGTTGACATTTTACTTCCACCTTGTTGGTCAGAAAACTGCTACACAGAGGTCGGCCTCAACCAAATCAATTTAAATTTAGCAAATCGGATTCCAGGATGAAAATGCAAGAGTAGTGCCTCTACCAGAAAACTATGTGCCTCACTTGTGCATCCGTCCTCTAACTTTCTCAAGCATTTCTCTTAAAAGCAAATGGTGGAAAGGTACACAGGTAACCATAAATCAGCACGTGGGAGGTACAGGGTTTAGTATATTAGACTGAGCTCCTTAAAGACTCCAAATCCTACTATTTGACTTTCAGTTTCTACTATCATAATTTTTCTTCACTTCAAATACACTAGTTTCTTCTGATTTCTTTCAAATAATTTTTCAAAACACGTATCTCCCGAAATTTTCTCTTCAAGGTAACATTCATCTCTTTCAAACAAAAAGAGAATTCCCTCCTCTTTTTTGCCTACATATTATTGCTTCATAAAAAAGGTTAAATCCTATCTATGCGGCAGTCATCTCCCCAGCTAATTTTGAGGAAGGCAGATTTCACTGCAAACAATAAAGTCTGTTAACTTTAACAATAAGTTAAAACTCAGGTTAAATTTCTGGATCTAACTTTTGCTCTCGGTGAACTTCACCTAAGTATTTAAAAAATTAGTAGTGTTTTGTTAATTCTAGACCATGTGCGTATATATCAATTGGTACTGTTTTACTATTAAAACAAAATCTAATGGGCTAGAGATTAGTGGTAGAACACACGTTTTTCATGTGAGGTCCTAGGTTAGATTCTCAGCATTACAAAAACCCAACTCCTTTACAACCATGACTTAGGAAAATTTTAATACTGAGGGAAACACAAATAAGACAACTGAGGGATTAAGAAACTCAAAAAATTAGATGTACTTTCAATCTTGATTTTAGTGAACTGTAAATGTTTACTTTTACATATTAATGCAATATGGAATTATTATAAAAGCATTTGCTACCTATTTTCAAACAGGTCAACTCCAAAATACATTCTCTATATCTGCTAAAATGTAGTCTCTCAACTTCATTATCCATACTGTTTAGACCCAATACAATGTCTGTTGAAATGCCTAAGTATTGAAATTTATTTCTTACAACATACAATGCCATGATTTTCTTTGCCCTTCGCTTTCCATTTAATATAAACTACCAAAATATAAGGCCACAGTATCTGAAGCTAGCTGAAGTCATTTTGCTTGCACTTTTATTTTTAAATTTAAATGAATCCTAAATTATGCTCCCTAACCTTCATATGCAAATATATAATTAATGCATAATGGTCAGGCTGCTTTGTTTTGTGGTACTGAGAATCCACCCAGGGCCACTCTATCCTTTTGTTTTGTTTTGTTTTTTGAGACAGGATTACTCATAGTTACCCAAGCTGGCCTCCACGTTTCAAAACTCCTGCCAGAATAGTTGGGATTACAGACGTGTACCACCGTGCCAGGCAAGATAGGCAGTTTTTAACTGATATTACTAGCGTGCCCTTCCAATTAGCTGAATTAATTTATACTGGCTATGCAAGAGGTCCTACTCTTCTTCCCTCTGTATCACCTGATCTAACACCTGCCAATCCAACAGGGAAAAAATAGTCTCATTTTAACAGAATCCTTTCATTACTGTACCCTACATGAATTACTCATTTTGTAAGAATTAACATATTCTGACATTTTTCAGCTCACTTCCTGTTATATACTATCTCTTTTCCTAATTGAAAAATAAAACGTGCAAACAAAAGTAATTTTACAATGTTTCTGCACCTCTCTCCCTCTGACCTTTCTGAAGGATCCTTCACGAAGACAGGACATACACTCATGGCCTTTGGAGACTTAAGTTTGCCACGCTTGACAGCAGAGATAAAGGTCTGACAAAAATGTTTTCCTAGACAAGCATTTCCATTCAGGTTAATCAAGGCTCCTGAATGCCGCAACAGTTTGTGAAATGGCACTACTATTGTTGGTACCAGTCTGTATTGCTTTTGTGCAAAGAGAATATTTTAAATTAAAATTCTAAACCATAATCTGTAACAGTATACAAAATAGACTGAATTAGAAAAAAATGTTGGATATGGGGGGCACAAATTTTAAATTTGAAGTCATCAGATTTGTGGAGATCCACTGCAACAGAGCTCAGATTAAGAGCAGAGGTATCTTACCTACCCAGAAGTGAGAGAAGCGGAGGGAAGGGCTGTGCCCTTGATAAGTGGGAAAGGTTAAGCAGGAAAGGAGCAGAGGCCTGAGCGTCACGGTGCACACAGCAAGGACACCCTCCTCCAAGGGGTCCAGGAAGGCTGAGAGAACAAAATGAAGAGAGCCAACCAAGGTTTGATGTTTTTTTTAAGTGATGGGATGAATGGTGGTAAGATTCCATTAGACCACTAGAGGGAAAAATGAGCAAAGACCATTACGCTTTTCTCTAAGACATTAGTCACATACAGTAGTCTTCATGTAAACCACACTGCAGGTGCATAAAGGAGATGGTACAGACTAGGGCAACAACGGTTCAAAGAGCTCGTGGGAAGAAGCTAAGTGATTTACTTACACTCCAACTCCTTCTACAACATGAGACAAAGTCAGCACCAGGCAAAGGAAAAAATCCCACAAATATCTCAGCACATGAAGTAATGAAGTTGCTGTGGTTAAGCATTAAATTCACTCTGATCTTATCCACCAGCAAGGCAAAAAAGTAAACAAAAAGAAATCATAGTTTCACAAAAGGCAGATGTACAATGATTTCTCAAGAGAAATTTTTTCTGGCAACTAAAAAGTTCTCATCTGTAAGCCTGAAATTTAAAGGCCAATGTCCTTGACAGGTTTCAATAAATGAAGAAATTTTATTATCACTTAAGGGATAAACAGGTCTCTTTTCACGCATGCCAAACATTGTTCTAAGCCCTTTACAGGATGGTATCTCACTTAATTTCCACGCAGCTGCTCCTTTTAGTAAACTCTCTCAAGTCTGTCACAGAGCAGTGTTGGCATTGCAGGCAGGGCTGAGGATGACCTGTGCATTGGGAACGATAACAGGATCAAATGGAAGCTCCTCTCCCTGAGTGAAAGAAATGTCTGTCACATAAGGCAAAATGGAAAGAGTCAAAGGAGGAAAGCTACATTTAGAAACCAGATGATTTAAGAAGCAGAAGCTAACTACATTTCAATGCTTTCTTCACAACCTTGAGCGCAGAGCTCTTCATTCACCTTACATGTTCATTAAAGACAGCTGCGGTTCACTCCTGGCCCAAAGTCCTGACTGAAAGCCCTAGAATTATCATCTATTTGAACTGTTTCTGAACCTATCTGTAATTCCAAGTTTGGTGGCACACATACACACGCCATAAACTTCTCCCCTGAACTAAGGTAAACACAAAGCTATCTTACTGGCATTTGAACTCAGGGCATCTGAGATCTGGAATTGCCTCCCTAGCCTGTTATTTGGTGGGGGGTAGGGGGGTGGGGGGAGAACAGGAGCAGGGAAGGAGGGAGAACAAGATGAGACATTAGCCAAAAATAGTATTTCAAAGTTACTACCATGAGGTGACTTAAGGCAATGAAACCAGAATCTTCTGGAAACAAATCACAAAAGAAATTCAATTTTCTGTATGAAGGGGGGGCACTAGAGCCAGAGCTACACACATATTTTTAATAGAAAGTGGTTCTCATAGCACTTAAGGTTAATTTTTTAAATGGCTAACTGCATTTGCATTTCTGTTAACTCAGGGCACATGTATTTAAACTCATTACATGCTCGGTAAACCAGATGAGTTTTACGTAAAAATGAGTCCCATGTGAAATTAAGCTCAAATTCTAGTCTCTAAAACATTAGAAAGAGGTGCAAATTTAACAGTCTAGATTTTGACTTGAAGGGACTTGGGCCATCTAACCGAGGAAGATGCCCACTGCCATGAGGCTATTTTGCACCATAAACCATTGTCTCAGAATACCACAAATTTTGCTCATTACCAACTGATTTTTTTTTTAAATGACCTTCTTCCGTCTGAGAAAACAACTTTAGAAATGTTTTAGGAAGGTCTCAATTTCAATTACAGGAAAGAAACATCAAACGGGCCTGAAATTGAAATAAAATTCACACTTTCCATTTAAGGTACCCTAGGACTGGCAATAGAAGTAAATAAAAAGGAGGCAAAAAGACGGCGTTGCACGGTGTCAATATTAAGTCAGAAAAATAGTAGGGCATAAAGAACACAGACCAGTCAATGTCTACCCAGAGTGGGTTAAAAAAAGGTTTGTGTCCGTGTCTATTACACAGGACAAAAATATTCAGGAAACTACCTCATTTTAAGAAAAATCGATTTTGAGACCAACTGATTACTGTGCTACACACTTACAAGATGAGTCAACATTCTATCACAAGTTTAAAAAAAAAAACCCTGGGTAACTCGGATTTTCAGGGTCCTGTGTCACGTGCCATCGTGGCTAGGTGACTTGTATTTTTAAAACATCTGTCCAGCTCAGGAAGAATCAGGCAGGCCCCGCACGCAGCGCAGGTGCTCGGTGTGCGTGCCTCATCTTCTGGGCCACATGACCCCTACCGCTCTTAATCTCATTTCGGAAGCTATTTCCGGAGGCCCGGAAGGCCCCACGGTCGCCGGGAGGAGCCAGCCCCGAGACCCGAGCACACCCTGCCACATCTGGCTTCCAGGGGGGCGCTGGCGGGACCGCGGGAGGGCAGGCGGGGCGGACGGCGAC